GTGAAATAACACAGTAAGCGAACACCACATATAACCATCGGACTTGACTTCAACCATAGGGCCAAATCCAATTTCTGAATAAACATGGAACCTGTTCTTTTTTATAAATATTATCATGCCGTTATCGGTGTGGCACAGTCTAGACTCAGACACATATGAAATATAATATAACAATAATAATTAGAAGACAATTTAGAAAACAACTAGGGAACAATTACACGATAGCGAAAAATATATCAAAAGAAATTCGAACTGAAAATTCTGTTCACCTCCTGTAGCTTTTCTTCACCACATTTCTGTTCTTCCTCTGTTGCATCCGCATCACGACCGCGAAGAATCGGGACTTCAAACTTGCGACGAAATTCAGCCGCGGTACCAAGCAGACCCATATTGACAAAGTGTACAAGACTAAAGTATTCCAGAAGATCATTTTGGATTGGAGTTCCGGAGAGAAGCACGCGGCGAGAACAATTCAACTGAACCAGCGCTTGATATGTCTGATTCTCGGAGTTTTTCAAACGATGACCCTAGGACGAGTTAATAGGATTGAATAGATTTTGCGTGGTTTAGCGAAAATTACGCGCTAACTAAATAAAAAATGATCTCTGTGACTGTACACAAAATCGGAGACAAGAACAAAAACATCTCATTGATCATAAATTGATAAAGTGGCTTGATAAATCGTAGAAATTGCAATTTTGCCCTGCATAATTAACGTGTTATACGGTCTGCCTGTCCAAATCCCGTGCCCCATAAAAATCGACAAACTAACAAAAAATATATCAAAAAGTGTACGGTGAAACACACGCAAAAATGTTGTTATCCCAGCTATTTTCCATTTTCCCGTATTTAACGTTTAACCCTCTTTCCACTTGGTTCTGTACCCCGATCCACCTATCCCCTGGTATTGTTATGGTTCTTATCATTGTATCGTTGGCACCATACCTTTTCAAAAGCTGGTATAATACATATATATATATATACATCGGGTATGAGGCACATTCTATGCTAAAACTAAAAATAACTGACAAAAGTATAAGCCAGAATTGCGTGGATTGAGTAGTCTGACCAAAGACGTTCCCATTCACACTTCAAGGATCTGAACATTGTATTTGCTTACTTCGTCGCACAAGACCAAACCAACAGATCCTTTATGTAACGCTGGCGCATGTAATCGGAATGTTTCGTACGATATAATAAGAATGGGATTGTGAACCCGACGACCACTCTGTGCGAGAAAATTACCTAAAATGAAAATGAAGGAAGATAAAGCTGGTCAAAATAAAGTGTTGTGAAAAAATACTGGCAACAAACGAAACAGAAACCTCAAGTACAGGAGACTGGAAACAGCATTGCACTCAACCAAAGGTGCTTTGGAAGATGGACAATGATGTGAGTATTTCAAATAAGATATTACGTCCGTTAATAGTATTCAACGTTACGAATTAGGAAGACTATTTAGAATGCATAGGTAAAATGAGATAAAGCACCAATATTCTGAATTAGATAGTGCTGGATATTTCGGGAAGCAGGCAAAAGGTGTTTATGATTGAACCCATTGTTTCCGCATCAAGGACGATAATATAAAAACCATCGAGCAAAAATGGACAAAATAACAAGGAGTCTAGGCATCAATAGGAACTTTATATTTCAACCATCGTATCTTGTCAAACACCGTTCTCTCCACCCAAGAAAGTCCGTCATTATTTTCTCAGTTATTCCGTCACTGAACCATTTGAGGTTTCGATCAAGAAAAACGCGCACTGATAAAGTTAAAGCTTGTTATTTCAGAAAACCGAAAGGTATCACTTCTTTCGACGATAATCTGTTATCTTAGACACTTGTAAGTCAAACACGAAGTACAGCATTAGCTGCAGGATCATGTTCAATAATGGGTGAAGCTTCACAAAGAAGGAACTTTATGTAAGAGTCACCTTTCTGCAACCAATTGTAGCAAAGGAAACTTCTCCAATTGATAAATATTCCGAATGCAGAGCGGTGTGTCGAATGTCCGCAATCGCATAAATACTTTGTTGCCAACACAATACGGTGCAGGTACGCAGAACAAATATCCCGATGCAGTTTGGTCAAAAAAAGGTGCCCCATGGTGGCACAAGAGCAATGACCCTGAACAACTGAAAGAAAAATCAATCGGAGCGAATTCGTTCTACTAAACCGAGTTCATTCATTGTTTAAATCTACGGCGCCAAAGGACACCAATAACATTGTAATCATTTTCTTATTCCCGGAATGAATAGTTCCCATCAACCACGGAAACAAGTGCTTCCATGTGAAGTCAGACCTTTTTCCTTCCATTCGTGGGCAGGCGAAAACAAATCACAAAACAAGTAAATCGCATGATCAACCATTAGATGCCATTCACGCAACGAACGAAAAGTATTGGTTCGATCGTGACACCCATCGAAATTATTACGCCTTAGGATAAGGGAGATCCTGACACCCGGAGTGTCACGCGTGTTGTAGTGAAATTGGTGGTAAGATGTAGGTGCATTTAAATGTATGGCGTGGTAGGATCACAGGACATTTGCAATTTGTGGTGGCCAGGCAACCTGTCAAATTGGATATAGCGCAACCTAAATTGATCACATCTCTACATTCCCTGCTGGGCCCGGTAGCTCAGTTGGTTAGAGCGTTGTGCTAATAACGCGAATGTCGTGGGTTCGATCCCCATCCGGGCCACACTTATTTTCCGTCACTGATAACCCGGTACATCGGCATGTCACAATGACTATAAAACAGAACACTGAGTTTGGTGTAGTGGAAAAAGGGTGGACGTGTCCACTAGGGACCGCCCTAGACAAATTTTTGTATAAATATAGTGACTACTCATAAGCAACGTGAAATATAAAACTCATAAGGATATTCTGAATATGATCTTAAAAATGTTCATTAATAGTAAAGCATCAAATTTGAATAACAATAATAATGGCAATAGTTATAATACTATTTCAACATGGATATAACTGTCTTATGTGTCGATATCCGTGGGA